CGTGGAGATCAGACTGTACCAAATGATGCTAATGCTGACTGTGTGCATGGGCCACCACGCACATGCGTGGAGATCAGAGAACAGCTTTTTGGGAGTTGCTTCTCTCCTTCTACCTCAAAGGTCCTTGAGTACAAAACTCAGGACATCAGGCTTATCACCAGGGACTTTTACTGCTGACTCTATTTTTAAAGCAATATAAATATAAGGATGAAGAGTGACTGCACAATCCAGAGAACAACAATATAAATATAAGGATGAAGAGTGATGCACAATCCAGAGAACAGCGCTGCAGACTTACCATGAATAGATCCCACTGACCATGTCATAGTTCTGACACGAAGAGTGCCCAGCGCTGGGCCCTGCGGCCTTCGAAATGAGCAGCACGACCAGGCCTCGCAGCTGTAGGTTATGACGGCTGTCATGCACAAGGGCCCTGTTAATAAACACACGGAGAAGAGATAACACACTTACCAAAGGCTGGGCAGATCTTGGGTTATAGATAGCTATAAAAATGGTCCAATTTCTAAGACCTAAAAATGAGACTTGTTTTTTGTTTTTTTAAATAAAGAGAATTAAAGAGGAAAGACTAATGCACAAGCTGAAAGTTCAGAAGCTAGCAAGAGAATGTGACGTGGTTTTTTTAAAGCAACACTCTCAGTGAGGGCCTGGCACCTTGGCTCCCTTCTCTTTCTGGGTCCCTGGCTAACCCCACCTTGCACTTTACTTTTATTACTGGTGCCAGGTTGGGAGCCGTGGCCTTCTACATGCTCAGTAAGTGCCCACAAGCATGCTGCACATGCTCAGTAAGTGCCCGCAAGCATGCTGCGCATGCTCAGTAAGCTCCCTGCAAACGTGCTGCACTCCTTCACAATCATAATTTGCTCTGATATTAAAAGGATGCTACAGCTTAGACCTGCTTTGTAATAAGCTGGCTTTGCTACGTCAAACTGCAGCCGCGGCTCCATAGCAGGTGGGCTATGCTTGACAAGCTCTTCTGATAGGACCCAGAGGCTGGGCCTGGATGAAGCACCGGATGCCATGGCAGCACATGGCAGGAAACGCCGCCGCATAAACTGCATTCTTTTTGTTGTTGCTGTTTTGGCAACTTGTTTTCTCTCTCTCCCTCTCTCCCTTCCCCCTCCCCCTCTCTCTTTTTTACATTTTCTGTCTCTTACATTTATTCCCATGTCTACCAAGTCTTCCCCACTCTTCTAATGAACAGGATCTCCTGTAGTTTTTCTACTTCACCAGGAGGTAGATCTCCAATGGAATTCCCATCCCAATGACATCTCATTGAAACATTTTCCTCTTTCAGAATGTGGTACAGAAAGATGAGGGAAAGAATATGAAAAGGCTGGAGGGCAAAACAAGAGAACGCTCCGAGAAGCACAGCTTCTGACCTTTAATAATATGAATACAAGGGTTAACAATCTAGAGGGCAGATGAATAGTTTGAATAAATGAAATGTTCCCCAAAACAGTCTCTTCAACTCCACTAACACCATTAAAAACAGCACTGGGAGAAACTGATGATAACTCCCCAAAGCTTAATATTCATTCACAACCAAAAGAGAAGATGAATTCTGTCTTCTGGGCATAAAATCTCCGAGATCTCAATGGACAGTGCTAATCTTATGTGATATAAGCCAGGTCACTCCGGGGGAATTTCGACCTCAGCCTTCATTAGGTAGGGATACTGGCAAGCAGAACCATATCCAGAAGCTGGCAGAATCACAGAGGGATTGCACAACTCCAGGGTTTTGAAGCATTTCTACTTCAGATTAGGGATCTGCAGTCAGTTTAAAGTCCATGCAAATTCTCCCAAATCTGAAAAACCTGACATTGGAATCATTTCTGGTCCCAAGTATTTTGATAGATGATACTTAACCTGTATGCCACAGGTGTGATTGCTGGGTAGGAGAACAGTGATGCTCGTGTTCTCAATTTTATTCAGTCAAAACCTTAGTGAATAATAATTCACGGCCAACAATGGTGAGATGCGGTCTGTCTTTGTACAGGCAACACTTTGGATTAAAAGCACTAGTAAAAGTGCTATGAACTGCTTTGGTGAACGGATGAAGCTGTTAGAACCCAGAAGTACTGAGTAGGAGGCAACACCACTTCCTGGAGCTCAGAGAGAAATCCATGAGAGCTAGAGAGTGTAGAGAGAGTTGAGCGGGAGTGCGTGTGTGGACAGGTGTTCTGGGGAAGGAAGCAAGGGCATGGAGGTGAGCAGAGAGCACGGTGGCAGGAGCAGCCTGTCAGAGGCGGAGCTGAGAGCGAGAGGATGCGGACCAGAAGCCGGGCAGACTTTAGACTGACAGGAAGAGATGGAGTCTCAGAACACCAAATGGCTTTACATGACTAGAAGACTAGGGCAGGCTCTACTGATGTTTAACTCTTGTCACTGGAAAAGACTAAAGGGGATACAGCCTTTGCTATATTCCACAGATATCTAGGAGTTTTCCTTATTTTGCAATTGTCAATAATTTCATTTTACTATATAGTTTGATCTTCCACAAGTATAACAAGGAAAGCAACCCTCAGCACTATGTAACCCCATCATTAAACTCTGCAGAACTGTTTGTGTTTGGTTGGTGTAAACAAGGCGCACCACTCACATATCCATTTGCCTAGTGAACTCTGAGGCCTTCCATGCATGAGGCACTATGCTAGCTGGGTACAGGTGCAATGGCAAGCAAAACCAGGCATGGAGCTTAGGATCTAGCAGAATAAATGGAAATAATCACCAATCCAATGTGAACCACAGTCATAATAAATGCTTTTATGGACAAAAAGAGAAAAACCATCCTAAGAATTCATCACAGAGTTGACTACATCAGGAATGCCACAGGCTTGAGGAAGTAGTGACTGAGCTGACATCCAAAGGAAGAACAGATGTGAAAGGAACCAGAGAAGGGAAAGGGAAGAAGAATGGGTCCCCAGGACATGGATGACCTAGGGCACAGGAACTGGACCACCAGGCTGAACAATGAAGAATGGGTCCCCAGGACAGGGATGACCTAGGACACAGGGACTAGACCACCAGGCTGAACACTGAAGAATGGGTCCCCAGGACAGGGATGACCGAGGGCACAGGGACTGGACCACCAGGCTGAACACTGAAGAATGGGTCCCCAGGACAGGGACGACCTAGGGGACACAGGGACTGGACCACCAGGCTGAACAGTCTATAGCAACAGGTTTGCTCTTTATTCAAGCACCAATGGGAAGGTACTAAAGTATTTTATTAAAAGCAAATGAAATGAAACAAAACAAAAACTATCCTGTTGTAGAAAGATGACGGGGTGGTGGCTGGCACAGGATGTAACCAAATGGTATAATGCATCTGGAGAGGTGGCTTTTGTGATATTCACTAAGAATTATGGGACTAGCTTAATGACATATAGAGATGAGTCAAACCTAAAATAACAATTTTAATTCAATTCAAATACAATTTGCACTTTTGACAATCCTAGAAAAATCACTTAATATGAATATATAACTAATTTTATATACTATTAATTCTAAAAAGTCTGTAAAATATATTTGGGGGTAAAAACCCAATCACACCAAACCACCAACCAACCAACCAACCAACCAACCAACCAAGAAACCCAACCTCTTTTGAAGTGCAGGCTGGCCTGAACTTCACTGTGTAGCCCAAGCTGGCTTTGACCTTGAGGCAACTCTCGTGCCTCTGCCTTTCAAGTGCTGTGTTACAGGTGTGAGCTACTGTGCCCAGCTCTGTTGAAAGCTCTGCCTCTTCCAAAATTCTAGTGTAGACCTAAGATGACTAAGTGCTTTGAGGGGACTGAGTCCTCGCTAGGTGAGCTGAGAAGATGAGGCTCTGGGCCTGGCAGCCCCCCACATCAGAATCCCGGCTCATGCTCAGAGAGCGGCTCAGGTCAGTGGTGCCATGACATCTGCAACAATTAACACAATTCTCTTCCTTAATTCAATTTTCTATCTCAAGGTCTCACGTCACTACTGTAACACTTTGTTAAGACACATCCTCTTAAATTGTTTTAATACAAATGTGTCAAGACGGAGGGACATACAAAGAATAGAAACTAAAAAACAGTTACTACAGGAAACTTATATTTGAATATATACTCAATCACATAAATAACAGCTAACAGCACACAGAGAAAAGCTTCCTGCTGGAGCTTCCTGCTGGTCCTCAGCACCTCAGAAAGATGGCCTGATTTCCTGAGTAGAGAATGAGAAGAGAGGAGGCTGGGGCTCCATCACTCCAGTGAGGAAAAGGAGAATCTCACAGAAGGAGCACGAGAAGCAGTGACAAGAAGGGGGGATGGGAACAGGTTCAGAACTGGGGCTATCCATGTAGGCATGAGACTCACACAGACGAGCCCAGCAAAGCAGACAGCCGAAGGATGAAGGGCCTTGGGACTCAGGTGTAGTCTGGACTTCTGAAAGCAATCTGGAGGCTTGGACGGTTTGTCAGTAAGATAGTGATGCAATTAGTGCTAAAGACTGAAACTGTTCCCTGGGCCTAATACCATGGAGACAGCATGCAGGATGCAGAGGAAACGAGAGGGAAGCCCAGTGAGGAGGCACCTCCTCCAGCAGCCTGCGGAGAGAGAAAGAGGGCTGCAGTCAGGGCAGGGCAGTGCAGAGCTGGAAGACGGTGGCAGCAGTGGAGGTGGCCATGGGCAGCGGGCTCACTGACAGGAAGAGGGAGGCAGGGAAGGAAGAGGGGAATGAAGGAAAGGCAGTGGCGGAAGAGTCAAGCCTCTCTGTTAAGCAGATGATGCTGTACCAGGAGAGATTGGAGTAAATCTAACGGGGAATTGACGAGCTCATTTCTGACATGTTGACTCTAATGCATGGAGGATCTCCAGATGGAGATGCCCAGTGGGGAGCTGGAAACGCTCTGGGTACAGATTTAGTGAGTTCTCCATGGAAGTGATGGCTGAAACAAGGGAAGCCGGCGGATGAAGGCTCTGGGTACAGATTTAGTGAGTTCTCCATGGAAGTGATGGCTGAAACAAGGGAAGCCGGCGGATGAAGGTGTTTTGGGGGGAAGAGAAAACAAAAGAAGGAAAAAAAAGGACAGCAAAGGCTTAAGAAAAGGAAGAAAATAGGTGTTGTGGTACATACCGGAAGTTCTAGTTTAGATTTTGTTGAGACAGGGTCTCTGTACATAACCCTGGCTGTCCTGGAATACACTACGTAGACCAGGCTGGCCTCCAACGCTTCCACCTGCTTCTTCCTCCAGAGCCCCATACTACAATTCTACCATGCAGGAGGACTGAAGGTTTATTGCAAGCCTAAGGCCTGTCTGGGCTACACAGAAGGACTTTGTCTCAAAAAACTAACTAACTGCGTACATATATGCATGCATGCTGACATTCTTAGAAGTTAAATCTTGGGAACTCCTAGGTTTAGGGGACTTAGGAAGAATTAGTAA